TAACAGGAAGATTATCGTATTTTCTACCATTTTTATTTTAGATTTCAAGTTGTGGTACAAGGATAGCAGGTAGTAGAGTTATTTAAATTTTGCATGGTTATTAGGACATTGAACATTTTTTCCAGATTTATTATTCATTGAATGACTTAAGTTTTTTGAAGTTTCTGTTGGAATGTTGTGCCTATACTTTATTCTATTGTGTGATCAGTAAGTGTTCCTCATGCTACACACATCTGTCTCTCTTTCACCTCTGGAGATTGTGTGTGTGTGTGTCTTTTAATGAGAGCCAACTCTTTATTTCATATGATCCAATTAGTCACTTCACTCAAATAGTTAATGTGGTATTTTGCCATTTAAGAAACATTTTATTATTCCAAGACCACAAAAATATTCCTTTTCTAAAAATTTTGTTATTTATCCAGAAAATTTAAACCAGCAATCCATCCAGAATTGATTTGTTGTATGTACAGGTAGTGACAGAAATGTTTTTATTCTCTTATGATTAGCAAAATCAGTTTATTCTGAAAACATTGGATTGTGCTATTTTTTTTCACTTTTTATTGCTTCCCCCAGATTAACACCATTCATCATTAGTGCTGATTTTCATGAAATATACCGGGAATCCCCTGCATCTCTATGTGCATCTTGGTATCTTTGGCAATGAATCACACAATGAAAATTAATCTTGATGTCAAAAATTTTCAGTGAAGCTTTTTGCCATAGGAATGATTGTTGCTGCAATTTAAAGGAAAATATGCCAAATGATAGAATAGCCTCCAGAGATTTGGCAATGGGAATAATTTTCTTATCACAGAGTGTACTTGGAATCCTGGGCAATTTCTCTCTTCTTTACCATTATCTCTCCCCTTACTACACTAAAGGCAGGCTGAAGTCAACAGATTTGATTCTCAAGCACCTGACTATAGCCAATTCCTTGGTCATTCTCTCTACAGGAGTTCCCCAGACATTGGCAGTTTGGGGGTTGAAACATTTCTTCGATGATTTTGGATGCAAACTTCTTTTGTATGTTCAGAGAGTGGGAAGGGGTATGTCCATTGGCACTACCTGCCTCTTGAGTGTCTTCCAGACCATCGTGATCAGCCCCATTAACTCCAGGTGGAAAGCTCTTAAAATAAAATCCCCGAAGTACATTGACCGCATCATTCACTACTACTGGATTCTGTATATAGTGGCAAATTTCATTTTTCCTGTGTATGCAGTTGTCAAATGGAACAGTAAGAACATCACACAGAAAAGAGATTTTGGATACTGTTCTAGTATAGGTCATGACAAAATAGTAGACTTATTATATGCCGCATTACTTGTATTTCCTGAAGTTTTGTTTTCTGTGCTCACAATCTTGTCTAGCGGATCCCTCATTTTCATTCTGTACAGGCATAAGCAACAGGTCCAACATCTTCACAGGACTAACATGTCCTATAAATTTTCTCCTGAATGGAGAGCCACCAAAAGCATCCTTGTCCTCGTGAGCACTTTTGTGACTTTTCACACCTTCTCCTCCGTCTTTTATGCTGGTATTGGTGTATTTTATAATCTCAGTTGGTGGTCGGTGAATTCTGGTGCCCTAATGTCTGTGTGTTTTCCCACTGTCAGCCCCTTTGTTCTCATGAGTCGTGACTCTACCATATTCAGACTCTGCTTTTTCTGGGTAAAAAATAGAAAATTCTCTAATCTCATTTTAAAAATGTAAACTATGTTTTGCCCAAAGATTATTACTTTATCTCTCATCATCCTGGAAGTGTCAGTACAGAAATTTATGGCAAAGGCACATGTTTTTCCTAGGCAAACCCTAATGGGTATTGGGGTCTTCAGCTGGTTAATTATGAGATCTGCATGGGGAAGGTAAGTAAAGCAGGCTGCCCTCATCCTGATGCATAGTACCTTGGTTATAGTAGTTTGTTTGTATTTTTGACATAAGAGTCTCACTCCATCACCCTGGGTAGGGTGTCATGACATCATTATAGCTCACAGAAATCTCAAACTCCTGGGCTCAAATGATCCTCTTGCCTCAGCCTCCCAAGTAGCTGTGACTACAGGCACTCAACATGATACCCAGCTAGTTTTTTTTTTATTTTTTTTATTTTCAGTAGAGACAGGGTCTCACTCTTGCTCAGGCTGATCTCAAACTCCTGAGCTCAGGAGATATACCCACTTTGGTCTCCCAGAGTGCTAGGATTACAGGCATGATCCACTGAGCCTGGATGGTTATATAGTGGTCTTAATCTAATGTTTCTTAATGCAAATTAAATGAATGTGGTTCTGGTTTCTCTGAACTAGGAAATAGATTTCTTTTTCTTATCTTATTGCATGAGCTAGGACTTCCATTACAATATTACAAAAGAGTGGTGGTAATGGACATCCATGCCACTGAATTATATACTTTAAGAGTGAATTTTATGGTAGATGAATTACATGTCAATAAAACAAAATCATCTAATAGCTGTACACTGAACTGAAGAATAATTCTGATCTGGAGACCCTGTCCTATTAAGGCCTTGGAGACATGAGTTCTAGCACCCATTGCAATAACACAGGCAAAAGGTAGGGATTATGGCTCGGCACCTGTGGCTCAAGTGGCTAAGGTGCCAGCCACATATACCTAAGGTGGCGGGTTTGAATCCAGCTTGGGCCCGCCAAACAACAATGACAGCTGCAACCAAAAAATAGCCGGGCGTTGTGGCAGACACCTGTGGTCCCAGCTACTTGGGAGGCTGAGGCAGGAGACTTGCTTGAGCCCAGGAGTTGGAGGTTGCTGTGAACTGTGATGCCATAGCACGCTACCCAGGGTGACAGCTTGAGGCTCTGTCTCAAAAAAAAAAAAAAAAAAGGTAGGGATTATTATGGCAATGATAATGAAAGAAGAGAAACTGGAGATAATTCTAAGGTAAAATGAACTTATTGTTTTCTTCAGATCTTAGTATTAATTAATTGTGTGGGGTATTAAAATCTCTACCTGGTTTCATCTTATTGGATTTCAGTTCCTCATGTTGTATTGTCTCAGTTCTTTCATACAACTAAAGATATAAAGAGATCTTTGTTTATGTCTCTACAGAACACTACCATGTGCCCATTATTGTCCTAGGTGTGTTCTCATGTCACACAATGTTTTTTTGTTTTTGAGAGTCTCCTTTTGATACCCTGGGTAGAGTGCCATAGCATCCTAGCTCACAGCAACCTCAAACTCCCAAGATCAAGTGATTTTCTTGCCTCGGCCTCCCAAGTACTTGGGACTACAGGTGCCCACCACAACATCTGGGTTTTTTTTTTTTTTTTTTTTTTAAGAGATGGAGGTCTTGCTGTTGCTCAGGCTGGTCTCGAATTTGTGAGCTCAGGCAATCCATCCGCCTCAGTTTCCCAGAATGCTAAGATTAACAGGCATGAGCCACTTCACTCAGCCATGTCACACAAATTTCTTTTTTTTTTTTGAGACAGAACCTCAAGCTGTCACCCTGGGTAGAGTGCTGTGGCATCACAGCTCACAGCAACCTCCAACTCCTGGGCTCAAGCGAGTCTCCTGCCTCAGCCTCCCAAGTAGCTGGGACTACAGGCACCCGCCACAATGCCCAGCTATTTTTTGGTTGCAGCCATCATTGTTGTTTGGCAGGCCAGGCTGGATTCGAACTGGCCAGTTCAGGTGTATGTGGATGGTGCCTTAGCCACTTGAGCCACAGGCGCCGAGCCATCACACAAATTTCAAAACTACTTTTAATTTATGTTTTCTCCAAATTTTTCCATGTAGTAATACAGGAAAATGTAAATTAAATATATAAAGAGGGCTAAAAGCTGTAAAAGAAAAAAAATAATGTTTTGAGTAGAACAAAAACCCCAAATTGTTTTTTTCCTGCTCTTATGCCACAAAGAGCAACACAGAAGAATTCTGTTACCCAATGCATAGGGGTCTCTCCCCACCCACCAAACAAGCAATCACATCTTCAGTGGACACCAGCTGGGTGTCCAGCAATTCAATTCCAATAAAATCTACCTACAGACAGCATTCAGGACCCACAGGTTGAGGGTTCAATTCCCCAAGATGGTCCCCCACTTTTGATGCCATTTGTAAGCCCCAGGTTGTTTCCCTGAGCTTATGACCAGATAGGAATCAGGATTTTCATGACCCCATACTTAGGTTTAATTAATTTTTTAGAGTGGCTCACACAACTCAGGGAAACATTTACTTACATTGGCCTGTTTATTATAAAGGTTATTATAAAGCATACATTTAACAAGATGCATAGGGCAAGTTATGTGGGAAGGGATGTGAAGCATGCATCTTCTCCAGGCATGCAATCTTCAGGACCTCTACTGTTCAACTATCCAGAAACTCTCCAAACTAAGTCATTTGGGGGTTTTTATGGCGTCTTCACTATGCAGGCATGATTAGTTAAACCATTGCCTATTGATGATTAACTTCCCTTCAGAGGAGGGTGTGGCTGAATGTTTCAATTCTCTAATCATACCTTGGTTTTTCTTT